AAAAAAAAAAAAAAAAAAAAAAAAAAAAAAAAAAAAAACTTGAAATATCACTACATCATTAAATCTTGACTCAATATTTACCATTGCAAATATTAGGTATTGAATATATTATTCAAAAATATATTGTAATATGCTATTTCTTGCTGAAATTAGGCCAAATAAGCTTTATGTTAAAAAAGTAAGAAATAAAAAATTGCCGCTATTTCTAAAGAGCTTAGATTTCACAAAAACAAAGTAAATAAATAATTAATCTTATTTTCTCGCTGGAAGTAAATCATAAACAGAGCACAGAGATTTGCAACTGTTGTTTTCTTTTTTGCGTTTGCTTCATTCTACTATTCAAAACGCGTATATAAGATTAAGACGGTTTAGTGTAAAATCATTTATTCATCTTTTGATAATTTCTTTTTAGTATTGACCGACAAACATATTAAAATTAATAGAGTGTACCATTAAAGCACCTCAATAGTATAATACAACATTAGAATGTTGGACTTTCGTCGAAAAATTGTTAAACGTTGGGAGAAGAAATATCTCAACAAATGTACTGCACTCCTTGACTCGCACAAAGTATAAGAAGTTTAGAGAAAGAACTCTAAAGCCTTCGGCTAAATCAAACAGTTAATCTCAGAGGTTCTTCTCAACTTATAACTACACTTAGTGGGATTTCTAGAACTTTTATAGTGACACACCCGCTTTGATTCTACCGATCTACATTCTGTATTCATTATTACACATTATCGTCATTTCATCATCTATCTTAATATGCAATAAGGCAATGTAATTAATGTTGATCGTCGCTAACTTTWTATTTGATAAGGCATAATATGATGATAGTTTATAATAATTACTGTTTAATTTCAAGGTAATAAGTTGAATTTGTAAAGCGTATAAATATGCGCTGGAAAATGCATGCACGATTGTTTATCACAAAAAATAATATTATTAAACAGTTTTTGATTAAGCTCTGCCAAGATTTATTATAGAATATGTCTAAGCTTTATAATTTTTCTCACGAAAATTTTTTGTGMAAGAAAGTAAAATCATGGCTGGCTTCCTTGCTGAAGAAATATGGAAAAATGATCTGGCTATAGGTGCTCTAGGTATGTCTAWCAAAGAGTGACTTTTTGAGAATGTAATGGCTTCTCAACAATGCCGTCTTGATTACCATCTTTTTTTTTTATTAAAGCACCGATTCACCCGAAAGAGAGTTATATCGCAAAAAAAAAAAAAAAAAAAAATGTTTTTGTGAAAATCGGGATCAGTGGCCATCTCGTTTTTGGTCCACTCACCGATCGTGCGGCGCGCTTGATGATGGTTCAGCTTCAATTTTTGAAAGAGTTACATTTTTTAAGTCCAAAAACAAAGACCGTTCCACAAACTCTCCTATAAAGTGGATAACAYAKCMCACTTAGAGTAGGCGATGACGAAGTCCTCCTGAGTCCTCATACGGACCTTYTGCGATACTCTGCTTCACAGCAGCAATAGCGTCTTTGGTTTGCACTTCATGGCGTCTCTAGAGATGCAGATCATTCTCTGAAGTAAACGTGTTGCGAAACAGATCCATGTTTACTCGAATTACAGACCCGCATTGAGAACCGCAAGTCGAAAAAACACCACGACATCGCATAACCCTGAGGACGGATGTTTCGCCTTCCCATTTTAGCTCTCCTCCAAAAGTGGGTTGAAGAGTAACGTGGCTCGATGATGGATTTTGCGAACCTCTACTCAAGCAAAAAGTGTATAAGCCGTCCATAATAGAGATGTACAAAAAACCGCAGTTTTTTTCCAAACCAACCAGAATTCAACCTSAACTACAAGTGTTAACGTTTGCGGCAGTACGGTCAACAACACTACCTTTCCTGCATTCCTTTTTGTACCCTGTATCTACGTTAGTWGTCTATCAAAGACCGCGTAAAGTATCTCAAACCTAACACCATCCGCCCCAAGCATTCATAATCGAATACGTAAACAAAGAGAGTAACCCAAATCGAAGGGATAAAAAATCTAAAGCAAAAATTACAACAAATACCCACATAGGAAGCTAAACAGCGGTTGACTTTAAATGCAGAGAACCACTCATAACGCCGATCGGTTACAATATTAGCCATATTCAAGGGTAAGGGGCGAGCAAATAGTAGCTGTTGCAGTCATCGTAGATTGCATTAAGTGGCAGGCATGGACGTTTTGATTACGTAAACGATTTGTGTGATGCATTGGGTGTGTGTGTGTGTGTGTGTGAGCGGCACGACTGTTTAGCCAACTTGCCACACGTTGACCCGCCGACATTACCGCACCGCAAAACTGTCAGCGCTGAATTACCGGCAATAATTCACTGATTATCGAAAAGGAGCACACTTATAAGTGAAGGAAGGGTAGAGAAGTGATCAAAAGGCAAGCAAGCAAGCTGAGGCTGTGCTTTGCAAAGCGACTGCAATATAAAAAGCGGCGTTGAAACTGCGGAATAATAGCGGGTAACGGRAAATGCTGAGTTGAAAAATGCTGCCACATCATGCATGGCACCTCAATAAGGGGACGCTCAAGGGAAGTAAATGAGTGAGTGGACACGGTGCTGGTGTATGATTGTTGATTATTGCCTGATGACTTTATCGCGGTGAACCAGTGACGTGGTAAAGCCGCGCTCACTGCCTCTTCCACCGCTTGTGAGCTGTCGCCAACAAACTGCTTAGGATGCTGATAGCAATGTTTGCAAACATAGCTGTTGTTGCTGTTG